GGCTCCCTGCTCAGCAGGGAGCCTGCTTCCTCCTCTCTCTCTGCCTGCCTCTCTGCCTACTTGTGATCTCTGTCTGTCAAATAAATAAATAAAATCTTTAAAAAAAAAAAAAACAAAAACCTTGACAGGTGATGACACTGACTCGAAAATACTCTGATTATGATGTGTATTGATGAGTAGCTGAGCTCATACGACTCTATGCGTCCACATTTGGTTTTTTTTTATTTTTTTAATTTAACTTTTTTCAGTGTTCCAAATAAACAATGAATTTTGGAACATATTTGGTATTTTAATTCCTTAGGTTTCTATTCAACATATGAAGAATGAGGGGGGGAAAAAAGATAAACAACCTAAAGATGGGGAAGAAAGGGTGAAGTCACAAGTGTTGGACAAGACCAAATACTCTCTTTGTACAATGTTTATAGATTTAGTCACAAACATCTGATGCATCTTAAATATGTTATTTCTTTTTTTTTCTAATTTTATTTATCTGACAGAGAGAAAAAGAGAGAGAGAGAGAGCACAAGCAGGGGCAGCAGAAGAGGGAGAAGAAGGTTTCCCGCTGAGCAGAGAGCCCGATCTGGGGGCTAGATCTCAGGACCCTGGGATCATGACCTGAATCAGAGGCAAATATCCAACTGGACTGAGCCACCCAGAAGCCACAGGTACGTCATTTCTTAGCTTACAGTAACAAAGAACAAACTACTAGCAGTAAAATCAAGTCCTTAACCAAGGTAATTATTTTAATTGTGAAGTTGGCTGTGGAAAGGATAAACTCTTCAAAATCGCTGATGAATTTCCAAAGCACAATGAAGGTGGAACCACCTCTCTCAAAAAACTCCCCAGAGGTACAGTTGCTTGATGAACATACATGAATTAATTCTTGATGTGTTTATGAAAGTACCAGAGTATATATAGGGCTGAAAAAATTAGTAATAGAAAAAAATCATTTCTACAAATGTAGGGAAAAACAACTTATCATCAGTGACTGTTTCACATGTTAATGCAAATAGATAAATAATTTATTAAGAATGTCATAAAATCATTATAAGTTTAATGAGATTTTTAAAATGAGCAAGATTTGTAAGCATGGTTTAATCATGTAAGATCAAAAATGATTAGTTGTAGTATCTTAATCAAAACTTCAAAGTAGAATTTAAAATAAACTTGTAAAATATGCTGACATCCACTCACAGAGACCAAGTAATGTGGTTCTTCATAAATATTATAGATGTGGGGAAGAAATAAAGAAAGATAATAATCCAAATTAGTTTATGGTAAGTTTCTGGCATGAAAAACAAGAGCTAAGCTAACAATAGGACATTTTCACATACTAAATTTTTTATAACAGATGTCAAGCTGATAAATACAAGTCACTAATGCTATAGGCAATTTTAATTTTTATGAACTGTTTTAATGTTGTAGAATAACAGTTTTGCAAATTTATTATTTCCTTGTAAGTGACAATTTTGTATATATTATTCAATGTTTGCTCAATGTTTTATTGTTTACTTCTTTCTCACTTAAGAAGAATCATGTGAAGAGAGTACTAACATTTCATACATATTATCATCTGTTATAATTGAAAACAGATCACCTTCACAGATATGAATGCAATCTTCATTAATTTGTAAAACTCCAAGAATGATTTGCTTGGCTCAATTTATGTTTAATACCCTTAGCTTGAATATATTAAAAATAGCAGAATGTACCTCTGTAGCCTCATTTTTGTATAGATACTAGGAAGGCATGGCCATATATATTAATTAAAATATTGCTAATTACTTTTTGAGTTTACTTATTAGACTTTACCTTACCTAATATTTAGATATATTAATTAAACTATTAACATTTCTTAATTTACTTTACTTTCTTCCATTACTTTCCTTTACCTGATCTATACTGCCTTATCTAATTGGCTCACTTCTTGCCAAATCTTTCAGTTTGAAAGTTCCTTTTAAGACAGCCTTATAGATCAAAAATTTCCCTTTTAAATCACCCGTATTTCTCTCTTTCCAATATCTAGCTCCAAGAAATGTGAATCCTTATTCTGTTCTAAACTAAACCATGCTTGTATTTATGACCTCATGTACTCCCATATTCTGTAGCTTTTCTCTCATAATTATCTCCTTTAGGGTTTCTAAATTCAAATGTGTATTTAGGGGAGTGAGATAGTGAGGAAGATAATATGTCAAGAAAGAAGGGAACCCCAGGTGGAAAAATGTTAAGCTGCAGGGATCATGGGTAGAGCTGACCTCAGCCAACTAGTTCTCAGAAGGCATACAGGTCCAGAGTTGTCAAGTTTTTCACTTTCTTAAAAGTATAGAGAAAGTTTTCTTTTATAAGGAATCTCCTAATTTTAATTTTAATTCTGGTTTTAAGGGTTTTTATTTATCCAGTTGAAATAAATCTTGTTTACTGACCATATTCTACCCAAAAGACACCAATTTATAAATTCTGTCTTTAGACCCTACTCATTTCCTCATTCTTGTACTCTGCCTACAAATACACAAAATTTCCCATAACTAAAAGAAACCAAGCACACACTATTTGATATTGCCATGGTCTGATTCCTGTTTCCCATTCCGGCCACTTCCAAAGCTTCAAAACAAACGAATTCCTGCATTTCCCTGGCACCCATCTTTTTAAAAAATTTCCAGTCTTTCAAGTGTATTTCCACATGGAGTGAGTGTCTTTGCCACAAAGCATTTTAGGAACTGCAATGCATACTCTGAAGATGAGTATTAGCGGACTCTTCCTTCAAGTTGCTCATGATCTACATTACATGTAGGTATGATCCAAGAAATGAGTAGACAGAAACACAGACAAACAGATCAACGGCTTATCCTCGTAACCACTTACAAAATCTGGGTAGTAATGTTTGTTCATTGAATAAGTAGCCTTTTGCCAATATGAAATTGCAGTGATTTTTTATATAAAGGATAGTTCTTCGAGTTTAATTTACTGAAATGCTCTGATTTAAACATATCAACCAATATAGCAATGTAGGTATAGGAAAACATGATGTGTTTGCATCCTCCATGCTCAGGAAGGTCTGACCCTAAACTTATTAGTTGTAGAATTGTACTAGAAGAAAATAAGATATAATAGATACATGCAGGCATGGAGTTTGATTTCAAGAGCTTGTTTTAGGCAAAATGCCAAAATCTTACAAAGAATAAAGCAGTACTCAAGAAAATGTATTTTCTGACTTTTGCCAATTTAAGATATAATTATTGAGACTTTTAACACAGGAACTCACATGGAAATACACATTTATAGAGTAATTAAAATTTATTTAGATAGTCAGCAAAATAGGAGTTGAACAGGTTCTACTTTCACCCAGTGCGAAAAGACACAGATAGGTATGAAGACTTAATAAAGAAGTTAAAGATAATTCTCAGAATATATGTCCATCCGGAGGAACAGAATAAAAAAAAGTCTATTAAATGTTAGTATTCTGTTGAATATTTTATTCTATTAGAATAAAGGCAGTATATTCAAAACTCACATATTCTTCCTTAAATTTCTGACTGCATAATGATTTCAGTTTTATGGTTTCATATCCTTCATTGATCAACATTAAGTAGAGCTGGTTCACTCTTTTATTAAAGTATTCATACCTAAACTATAAATCAAGCATTCAATATAAGTTTGCCAAGCCCAATGTATTTGAGTACATGATGTGAAATTTATTATGGTTTATTAAAGAAACTCACCTTATTTCCAGGACCAAAGAGGAATTGATTTTCCAACCTTCTACAGAGTGCTGGAAGATTGAAGAGCCAGCCTTTCGAATGATTTTATCAGAACTATTGACAAGGGATCGACTCAAACACAGTTCACCATCTCTGAAACAAAACAAAAATGCTAGCTCTGTGAAAGTAAGAAGCATTTTATCTAAGTAGCATAACACATAATTTGATTTGGATTACTGGTGACAACTTTTTCTACATGGTTAGAAGAGGTATGAGATTGAAGGAAGGTATTATGAGAATTAAGAGACTATGTCTTTACATCTTAAGGACATCTTTACACTTATTCTCTTTGAAATAAAAACACTTTTCACATAAAGAAAAGCCTTTGTGGTGTTTAAAGAAAAAAAAATTGTCTTCAAACTCTATCCTCCCTCCCTGTTTTGCTTAGACAATAGAGACAGGAAGTTTGGCCACTTCTCTTGCATCTGTATAATTGTGACTCCCAAGATAGCAATTTTATTTTTACAACGAAAAGAGATTTTGTTTTGGAGTAAGAAGACTTTGGAGTATCAGGTGATTTGGGCATGCTGGTGATTCCTCCACTTGCTAACCTATATGTCCTTGGATAATATTCTCTTTCTAGGCCACAGTGGCCTTGCTTTATCTTGAAAATTGCAATAACATTATCTACCATGCAATGACTTTGTGAGAATTCAGCAGGAGTCTGTATGGGAAAGTAATTTATAAAGCACTCTAGAAGTGCTAATTCCCAAAATTACACTGAGTCTGAAATCATCTCAACAATGAAGACACTTTTCCTGATAGTTGGTGGTGGGGAAACAGAGATTGTAATGAGGAGAAAGAAAACTCATTCAGTAGTCATTTTTAATGGTATTTTCTATTACATCACATACACAAAATCAACTATGCCATCCTTTTCAATCAGTGCTGTCAGGCAAGCATATAGGTGGCACGGTGGTGCTGGTCATGTTGATGACAGTAACAGATAACCTATGACAGCATTTGTATCATCAGGACGGTTATAGCGAAGCCAGTTTATTGTTCAATAGACTATTTTCTTAGTAATTATAGCCATAAACCCAGACTCACAGAAACAAAATGCTACCTGTTTATGGAACAGCCCTTCTAGTATCTGTATTTATTTCTTTACATGTTACCTCTTTTATAAAATCTCAAAAATAGAGTTAAAAAGTAATATGACTATTTGCTCAGTCACAAAATCTAAAACTGTGTTTATTATGTAGGCAATTCTCTCCTACTATCAATGGAAACATTGCCTGTGTAACAGCTGTTCGATGAATTCTGTAATTAGAGGCTTATAGTTTGGTATTTTGGTTTGCATTCTTTGTTAAACATGTAGTTCCAATGTGAAGCACTCAAAGCATCACATGCAACTACTCCTTGTGAAATTTAGAACTCTATAAAAATCAGTATTTTAAACTATCCTACTGAAGAAAAGGATACATTTGCATGCCTAGGCATGGTCAATAATAATCATCTTATAGAGGTCATTTAAGATGCTAGGAAGCATAGGGTGCAATTTACTACTCAGTGGCCCAGAAGTCAATTTTTATATTACGTGTTTAATGATAATAACTAGATATGAATGAGAACATGAATACCTACAGAAGCTAACCTTCACACTTTTGGAGATGCCTTCAAGAATATGGGTACAAACTCTCACCGTTTCTGAGGGCAGAGATTTTTTTCCTATCTTTATCTTGTTGGCTGGATTGTTAATACCATCTTTTTCTAACCACAGAGTGTCATAATTATACCAATTATTTTTTACTCCAATAAACTTCTCATAGAAGTAAAAATATACACGGGCTGGCATTTTTAAATATCTGTGGAAGACTGTTTCACTGGCATACAGCTAACAGTGCATTTTGCATGGCAAAATAATTGCTGTGATATACTCAGTTATATGGAGGCCTTTCAGAACCTCCAAGACTTAAAAAAAAAAAAAGAGTGCTTTAAAAGTTTAAATCAGTTTTATATTAGTGAAATACTACCATATTACTCTGCTCTTTGAACCATTTTCATTGAACTGACGACAAACCAAAATTCAGTTTCATTCCTGGAAAGAACTTTGAACAAAAATAGCTACCGCTAACGCCACTTCTTGAAGTAGATGGAATTCCTATGTAAGAAGGCTAGGCTTAGTGGAGTCTCTGGAGCAAATTTCTTTGTATAAAGTTAAGTGGGTCTCACGGGATGTTTCCATTTGTGACCTTGGTAGTGTTCTGACTTAGAAAGGGTTTTCCTTCAATGCAAGGCATGAAGGATGTTGCCACCCCCTACTAGTTTTTCATTCCAGATCAAACACAATTACTAAACAGCTGCACTGAAAACATTTCTTGCACAAGGCTATACACAGGAAGATCCAACATACACTCCTAAGCAGAAAATCACAAAGCACATCAGGGAAATAAGGCAGCATAAAGCAATATAACTTATAAAGTATTCCTGCTTATGTTGAGCTAAGAAAACCTACTTACAATGATAGGAGTGACAGAAATTAATCATTAGTTATGTTACTAGTTTTTACAAATATTTTTCTCTTTGAAATATGAGTTGCCAGGAAATACTACACCTTATTCTATTAATTCTGGAGTACGTAACAAATATAATTATTTTTGTTTCTTGAGATTAGGTCCCAAAAGCCCTGCATTCAATTCCACTAAAAACTCTTCATAACTTGGCTCTGGAATGAATGTGTTCCCCATGGACTAGGTTAAATTTCCTCCTTATTATAAAATTATGAAAGTCATTCAAAAGAAGACTAAGCCTGAGTACCAACGGCAGGCAATTTGGTGTTTTCATTCCCTAAGTGTCAAACAACTAAAAATAAAGATGAGATGTACTACCTTAACCTCCTGCCTACAGTTTTTAGTAGAATTCCAAATGAAGCATACAGAGTGAAGATCCTGGGTTTCCTGATTTGTGAGCGTGTGCTCTACCCTAGCGTCAACTGGAACTAACTTTGCTGACAATGGCAGTATTCTAACTATGAATGCCAATAATCTACTGTCAGTAATAATAATAATAATAATAATCCAATATCTACTGTCAGTATTATAAGTTTCAGAATTATTATGGACAGTTATTCAGTGAGAAAAAGAACAGTTAAATTAAAAAGGAAATCTCTAGATGATAAGAAAATTAGTCTCATTTGTGATCAAAGAGGAGCACAGTATGTGTCAAGATTTAAAGACTTGCAATTAAAACAAATAGTTGTGTGATAGTAAAGTTTATGCCACACTCTCAAATACATTATCTCGTCAAATGAGCACACCCACATGTTTTTATTTGTAGGACCCTTAAGTTAACACCATTATACACAAAGAGTGCACAAAGTCAGTGAACTCATGGGCCAATGGTGAGGCAAGTGTCATTTTTCCCATTATGAGAAAAAAAAAAAAATATATATATATATATATATATATATGTCAAGAGTAAACCACTTTATAGACCCATGCCTTTTGAGTTAAAATTTTATTAACTAGTAATCATACCAGGCAATAAATAGGGTTGCATGAAAGGATACATTTCCAATAATTACTTGACCCATTCTCAATTCCTTAGAAAAACCATGCTTTTAGGGCGCCTGGGTGGCTCAGTCACTTAAGTGTTTGCCTTTGGCTCAGGTCATGATCCCAGAATTTTGGGATCCCACATCAGGCTCCACGCTCAGCGGGGAGTCTGCTTCTACCTCTGCCTCTGCTGCTCCCCCTGTTTGTTCTCTCTCTCTCTCTCTCTCTCTCTCTGTTAAATAAATAAATAAAATCTTTTAAAAATGCTTTTTAGTATTTCTCTGCAGGTATGAGAATGTGGATGGTACGCAGGAAAGTTGTTCCTCTGCGTGGAATGACTGTTCAATATTGTATATAAGAACAACACTGCACTGACTCTAGATGGGACCTCCAGTTAAGGTGGGGGGATGGGGAATAAAGAAACTGCCTATTGGAAATGGCAGCGGGAAAACTAAATATGAGGGTTTTTGTTTTTGTTTTTGTTTTTTTGCGGGGTTGGGGGCGAGGGTTCTAAGGTATAAGGACTGAACCTACTGCCCACTCTCAAGTCATGCAGTGCCTCCCAAAGGTCAGAGGCTGCCTGTTACCTGACTTCTGAATATTAGACCAGGGCTCTGGGGCCCAATCTCCACTTACTCATCTCAAAACGAGCCCCTCTAAACGGCCTGGGGTAGACATAGAGTCAAAGAGATCACTGGGTCGTTGGATGAGTCAACTCCTCCACCAGAAGCGCTATTTGGAAGTTGAAACGAAATCACGAAGCGAACGTTTCCTCTGGAGGGAAAACGGAAAGAGCGCTCAGGGGGACTAGCTGGGTCCGCAGTCTCCGAGCAGCGCCAAGTCCGCCGAGGGAGGGCAGAGGCGGGCGCGGGGCCGCCGCGGCGGGGGAGCTGCAGGGCGCCAGCAGCGCGGCGCCCGCGGGCGGCTCTCGGCCGTTCCCCCGCACCACCGTAATTGCGGGCTTTAATTAAGGAGGAGGAGCCCGGCTGCCGACTGAGACGTAGAAGTGATTTTTTTTTTTTTTTTAAAGCGGGAACCTGACTTCCGAAATAGACTCCAACCTGTCCCCGCACTCGATCTCCCACCCTCGCGGTCCGCTCTCGCGGAGGAGCGGAGATAGCGATGCGTTCGTACCTCGCTTCCTGTTTGATTAACTCACGCGCCCGCCTCCTTCTTTCTCCGAGGAGCAGGGGAGCAACCGCAGCGCAGCCCCAAGAGGGGGCGAGCGGAACCCAGCCGGGCTAGCCCGACCGCGGCGCGCGTGCCTGCGCCGCCGGCTCCTCGTCGGTGCCCGCCCGCCCGCGGCGTCCAGGGAAGGGCCGCAGGACGAATGTTGCCCTGGAAACGTGGAGCGTCCCAGGTCGGTTGTTCCCCTGGGAGGGACCCGGGGTGCGCGCCCCCTTTCCTGGCGGCGGTTTAGGGAGGCGCGGAGACGGCTCCTGGACTGCATGGGGCGCCTCCTGTCGCTCACTGATCCGCCCACTCCTGCTCCTCAGCTAGCAGAGGGCCCGAACCCTCGGAGTTCTGGCCAGGCTTGGCGGCTTTGTTTGGGCGCACGCTCGCGTTCCGTTCAGAACCCACCAGCCCGGAAGGGAACAAAGAGCCGCGACCCCCCACGCCCAACCTCCGCCTCTCCCCCACGTGCCGCTTTATCACCTTCCCCGAGACCCCTTTGTCTGCCTGGGAAGCACAGGTCTGCCGTGGATGCCCACGCCCCCGCCCAAAGTCCTGCTTTGCTGACAATTGAGCTCGGCTGCGTTTTCAAGCCACCCACTCCCTGTGTAAACGACCTCATACAGTTAGGCTTTTTTTTTTTTTTTTTTTCCTTTTCCAGAATAGACCATTTGTAGATTTGTCGATGCATAACGACCATCCAGCTCATTCTTTATTAGCTTTTTCATTCCCTTCCAGTCCCTTTCGACTGTACTTCTGCTATCTTAGTTTTCTATAAAACAGCAAATCCTTTAAGTATAAGCCTCCGTCTTGCTCACTTAAATACTCATTACTTAGGGAGCAGCAGGAATATTAAATAGAGTGCATGAAGTTTGTGTGTGTGTGTGCACGCGTGCACGTTTTAGCAGTCCTTACATGCACATGCACACGCGCGCACACACACACACACTGGCAAGGGCTCTATCTTCGTTTTGATAAATGTCAGGGAACATAAAAACCAGGCTGGCATCTGCCGGCGTGGAGTTTCCGATAGCGGACGCCTCCGGATAAGGGAGGATTTCCGAAACAGGACTTTGAACAGAGTTGACAACCAGGTTCACATCCTCAGAAAACGCTTCCAAGCTATGTAAGCAACACAAAGTTGCAGCCACCTCCTGGGTAAACTTCAAAGCAACAGAGGCCAGGGGAAGGGAGGAAGGAAGTGCGATTATTTAGAGAACTTACTGGGTGGGGGAAGCTTCTGAACTCATTTAGACAAACTGTAGAAATAGCAGAAATGTAGTCTGTGTGAAGCTACAGTACCCGGTTTCTAAAACTGTAACCATGACGCCCATGCGTTTTACCCACAGAAGAGCAAATAGGGAAGAATCCTTGCTTGTATTGGAGTTTCTAATTCAAATGATACACAGATCTACCCAACGCCAAAGAAGAGGAAAGAAACAGAGGAGACACATTTCTGCTTTCTGGGCTTTAACTTCAGCCTTTCAGGAAGCCGGCTCTCTCTACTCTCTCCTTAGAGTGATAGGGCAGAGAAAGAAGGAAGGACAACCACATGGGCAATGAAGACATCTCTCCTGAGTTCTGCCCAGGGCTTAAAAGGACAAGGGCACACGTTCTTTGTTGACACTTCTGCAGTGACTTCTCCTTGGGCGTGCGAACCCCAGCGCCAGCACAACTGTCACTACCACCACACAGGGCAAGTTGAACTCACACTGGGAACATGCCCTGGAGAAGCCCACACACCTCCACCAACAGCCTTTGTTATTTAATTCATGAGACGAAACACACAAAAGCTCATCCCAACACACAGACTATCCCAACCCTCACTCTACCGACTATATTCCCATTTCATTTATGGCTTGACTTTTTTGTTTTGTTTTGTTTTGTTATATCCTGAAATGAAGCTTTGCATTTACCCGATGAGTTGCGTCTCCTGGTGCTCCTCAGTTCTTGCTATTTCTTTTGTCTTATAAAAGATCAGGAGCAGACTTATCGTGCAGATCGTCCACCTCTTCCTAATGGAGCGCATCTTGGGTGCCCGGGAAAGTCCTGGTTGCCTCAGCTCCCTCACCTTCTCTTCATAGAAAGGCTCCGTTTGGGGGAGATACAGTCGCGGGGGAAAATCTGTAAATTTCGAGGAGAACGTGGAACCGGGATCTCAGGAACAGGTCGCAAGGGTCCTCTGCGTCCGAGCTCCCGCTGGTCCTTGAGCGCTACCCAGCGCTCTCCCTCCGGGTTCCCGCCAGCCCTGCCCCGGTCGCTCCGCGCCGCCTCCCTGGGGCTCAGGTTTCTTCTCAGATGAGACACCTTGTACATTGGAGGTGGCGGCCGCTTCTGCAGCTGGGTTCGGGGGCGTCACTGGCCCTTCCCTTTTCCTAGCAGGGAAATGATGAGCAAAACCAGCCAATCACCAGACTGAGGGGGCGGAGGCTGCAGTTGCCTCGCATTGCTGTCGGCTGCTTGGAGAGTAACGTCGCCGGCGCTGACTGCACAGTGCCGGGAGAGGAAGCTTACAAGCTCGCAGTCGTATACACACACACACACACACACACACACACACACACTCGCGAGCACGCACGCACCAGCACTCGCACACCCAGGGGAGAACGCAGCGCGCCAGAAGGAATTCAGGTCGCCTTCCGGGGAAACCAGAGCATCAGCTCTCCGGACGAGCGCGGAGATGGTCTGTCCTGAGCGTGGCGAGGACACCTCAGCTGGGGACAGATTAGAGACGCAGCTTGCTGGAGAGATGCTTCGTTTTCGTTTTCGTATACAGTGGAGGTGGGGGGTGTGTGCAGAAGGGGTAGCTTCTTCCTGGCGCCTTTGCTGAACGTACACAATCGGACATACACACGTGAACGCGCATACACACGCCCTCCCAAGTAGACTGAATCGGGGTACGGAGAGGGAAGGAGGAGGACGTTTTGTATTCAGTGCGCAGCTCAATCTGGAAAGTACAAATGCACACATGAACCAATTAGCCGATCACCCACTTGGGGTGGGTGGTGGATGACCACCCCGATTCAGGACCTAGTAGGAAACAAGTGATGACAGAGGGTCAGGCGCTTTGTGGATATTTGTGTGACTCTTTTTCATTGCCATTTGGAAACTCCTCACGCAGGAGTCAAGGAAACTCCAATCCTCCTTAAACTTCACTGCGGAGAAACAGAATTCTGAGAAAAAGCAGCCACCAAGGACATCCTTTTTAAATACAAGTACATCCAGACACCGGAGAAAGAAAGGGAGGGGAAAGAGGTAGGAAGATAGGAAAGGAAAGAAGGAAGGGCAAGTTCTTCCTCAAAAGTCTCAGTGATGTGCATTTAACTTCGGGTTTTCACCAGTCTCCTCACCTCCTACTGTTTTTCTTGCTCCTGTTGTATTGTGTGGCAGGAGTACTTTCAAGTCCTGGTTAACCCTCAGCTGAGTACTTTACTGTTCTGTGGTCTTGCCCTCACTGAGAGAGAAGCTTGCTGCTCTGGTTGCACCTATGCCTTGGTTTGGCTGGTGGTAATCGGTGGTGGGGAGGCACCCCTGGTGTGAAATCTTGTCTGGAAGCCAGGAATTTCCCCCATCTACCAAGTTCCCCCCCTTCTCCCCTCTCTACCCCTTTCCCATATTTCCTGCAGCTTCTCTCAATTGCATTACTTGTTCCTTCAGGTTGTGCAGAGGCTCCAGCTGCCGTCTACTCTTGGGCCCTGGGGGTTTATACTTCCCCAAGCCGGGAAATGATGAGGCCCACCACCACTCCTTAGGCAAGAAGGGGAGTTCTGATTTACTAGCCCCCTGAGGGCTTAAGATAACAACTAGAACAGCCAGCACCTTTGCTTAAAATCCTGAGGTCCCTGCTAATGTTTGCCTTTCCTTGCCTAGGGTTTAAGAAGTTAAGAACCTCTCAGTTCTCAAGCTTCATCTTCGCAGCCCAATGAATTGGGGGGTTGGGTCTAAAATGCTCAAAGGAGCAAGTAATTATGAGCCTTTATTGACACTACAAGTGGCCCGCCGGGAGCCTTTGGAGTTTATTGATGTCTGGGCAAATCCCGCTAGCATCTCTATCACACTGACTTCTCAACTAGCAGAAACTGCAAGAATAAAACAGCTTCTTATTTAAGTTAAAAGGGAATTGGGGCAGGGAGAGGGTGGGCAATGCATGGTTAGGATTCTTTAGGTTAATTAATTAAATTCTTTAGGTTAACATTTGATTTTTAAACAGTAAACAAGATACTTTGGATTCTAAATAAAATACTTGCTGGTAGGGATGGAGTAATATGCATCACTTAATTAAATTCATACAACATATTTTGAGCAGATAATATGGTCCAGGCAATATGTGAGGGCTTAAGAACACAGAGATGAATAAAATACAGCATCTAACTAGGGAGGAAGTTCACTCACTGTGGGATGGTGGTGGGGAAGACAGATTGTAAAAGAATTAATTTGCAATGTGGCACCATGAACTAACACCAGCATTTTAAGTATGTGTCTCCTGTCTGGGTACACTACAGGGTAGAAGCAGATGGAATGTTTAAGTTGTTGGGAGCAAGGAAAGTGATCTTCCTGGGAGAAGGCACACATCAACTGGGGTATGCAAACCTAAGGAGTAAACCGGGCAAAGGAATCAGAGGAAAGATTATGTGCACTCCAGAGAGGAAGAGAATGCTGATGCTTTGGGAAACTTTGAAGTAGTTCAGTACTGTTAGAACACAAAGTGGGAAAAGAGAAGAGTAGGACATAAGTTTTTAGTGGGATCATAATATTCTATAGCTTTGTAACGTCAAATTGTCTTCTCTAATGGGGAAGTTGCAACAAGAAAATCTTCAAGAGGAAAGTGGGTTTAATTCATGTTTTTACTTCATGTATTTACTTTAATTCATATATTAACTTCAAGTTAAATTAGGGGAAACTGTTCCTTTGGACCAAGCAGACCAAAACAAACCCACCTATATCAAAACCAAAGCACACCAATAACTAGTTATGTGTATACATAAGAAATCTAAACACTGATAGAAGAAAAATGAACTCTGCAGCTGTAGAATGCTGCTATTTCTGTATTCATTAAGCATAACACCTTCTATATCGAGGTGAACACTTCTGAATGACTGATAATGGTTTAGTGAGACTCAAGAGATTCCCCTTTCCCATAGTTGAGCAATTTTGAGTTTAGAGAGTAATATAGTGTCATTTGTTTAATATGATTAGATTCATGAAATATGCATCCATAACAATTTGCCAGATTAAAAAAGAAAAAACAAAAACAAAAACGTATAGGCCAACACTTAGACCAAACAAAGGATAGTCTGATTCTTCTCAATATGCAACTAGGTTTAAGAACCATAAACCTGGGCGCCTGGGTGGCTCAGTGGGTTAAAGCCTCTGCCTTCAGCTCAGGTCATGGTCCCAGGGTCCTGGGATCGAGCCCCACATCGGGCTCTCTGCTCAGCAGGGAGTCTGCTTCCTCCTCTCTC